GTCATAGATTGAGGGACCAAATTATTATTAATATTTTTTAATTTTTGGGAAGGGATTATTATCCCCGGAAAAGCAATCCGCCAATCGACTAATAATCGGGTTCCTACTGACTGCTGGTGGACAGAGGTGTGTGGAATAAGGAAACTTGACTAAGGTTTCGTCCTGCCCAGGAATCAAACCCAGGTCCTCTCGCTTGCGAGGCGAGTGCTCTAACCAGGACTCTAAACGTAGGTTACTAAGGAGTGATATTACTCTTCAGGAACCATAAAGCAGAATGTCTGAAGTTAGAAGTCGAGGCACTCGAAGCTCAACTCGACAAAGAGAAACAGAAAACCGAACACTTTATACTAAGAGTGAATATGTTCACAGGTCCGGGTTCAGCAGAAGATGAGGTAAACTTTTTCCCCTGCATTCATTGACTATTGCCGTCATGCTGTTGGAAATGTTAATAATAAAAATCTTTGATATGGCACCTTATCACATCGTTGAGGCGTCTCAAAGCGCTTCACAGGATATACTGTAAAGTGTAGTGACCATCTATTTTATGGGTGAAATGTGGGAGCCAATTGCGCACAGCAGCGTCCCACAAACAGTCGTGGCCTGAGTGACCAAATTATTATTATTTTTTATTATTTTTAAGGTGGTATTATTATTCCCCCCATAAATTAGTCATGTAAAGGAACTAAAAAATTAGCTGATGGAACATAGTTTGCACTATGACAGCTGGGGCTAACCAATGAACTTGTCTCTTGTATATTAGATGGTACTCCTGGATGTTTTGAACAAAGCCATCAATAAGTTGTATCAGCAATGCTGCGATTCCAACGTGAACCTCAGCTCAGTACACAAGCTGGCTGGCATTGAGAGCGAGATCAACAAGCTGATGGATCTGATTGAGACTGGTGTACCGGAAAAGACAGAAATTATTAGGAAGCAGAAGCAGAAGGCGATACGAGAGAGGTAGGATATTTCTGTTCTAATCGCTAAATGTTAATAAATGTTTACCTAAGTCTTCCTAAAGAAGTTCAACTCCAGCAAAAAAACAGATGAGCATTTCAGTCCATTTATGTGCAATAGCCTTGGAGCCTCCCTACCTCACTGATCTGCTCTCTTCCCCACTGCACTACCCGCTGCTTCCGCTCGGCTGGCTCCAGCTTCCTGCTTGTCCCTCGTCCCCTCTGCTCCACCATCGGCGCTGCACTTTCAGTCACTAGCCCCCAAAACTCTGGAACTCTCTCCCATATTCCCTCCGTCTCGCCCCCTCCTTCCCCTTTTAGATCATGACTGCAGACCTTCTTCTTCGACCGTGTTTACGGTCACCTCCTCCCTCCCTCCGGCTCCGTGTCAGGCTCCGCCACTGTCAAGCGCTCTGGGACTCTGCCCTGCGTGAGGGGCGCTGTGTAAATACAAGTTGTTGTTATAAATGTTTTTAAAATGACCGCTCCCTCCCTCTAAAGAAACAAACAAACAGACAAAGTCAATGTCCTGAAAGTGCTACATCACAAAAAATAATAATTTGGTCACTCAATCGCACGGCTGTTTGTGGGTCACTGCTGTGTACAATTGGCTGCCGTGTTTCGCCCACAAATGCAGTCAATTCAGTTTACAGTCTATTCTGTGAAGCTTTGAGACGTCTCGAAGATGTGATGAGGGCTGTATCAAATGCAAGGATTATTATTATTATTGCTGTAAGAGCCGGTGCAGACTTGATGGGATGAATCCTAATAGCACATTAGGGAAGATGCCACACTCCATGTGGTCAGGTTTCCTACTGTTCATATCCTACAACCTGAAAGAGCGGTTACCCATCACAGCAGTGATGGCAGAGAGGTTCAGCACTCATACAGGACAGTAACACCTACAGCTCAGGGACCAACAATAGAGGGCGATGAAGATGCTGCATTTCTTGTTCTGCTGTGAAAATCCACTCAACTGATCCACAAAACACGAAGCAACAATAATAATAATCCTGGCATTTGATATCGTGCCTCATCAAGTCGTCGAGACGTCTCAAAGCGCTTCACAGAATAGACGGTAAAGTGTAGTGACTGTATTTTGTGGGCGAAACGTGGCAGCCAATTGCACACAGCAGCGTCCCACAAACAGCCGTGGATTGAAGTGACCAATTTTTTTTTAAAAGATTATTCTTTTCCTACTTACTGCTGGTAAACAGAGGCGTGTGGAGTAAGGAAACTACTGACTAATCCCACTGCCCCCTCTTACCCCATAACCCCCATTTTTCCCTTTCAAGTACCTATCCAATGCCCAACATTTTGCCCTGCCCTGTATCAAACCCATGTCCTCTCACTTGCGAGTGCTCTAACCGCTGAGCTACAGGACACCATTCCAATATATCCTGTGAAGCGCTTTGAGTCGTCTCAACAACATGATAAGGCACTATATAATAACATATATAATATAATAAAATTGGTCACTTCAATCCACGGCTGTTTGTGGGACACTGCTGTGTGCAATTGGCTGCTGCATTTCGCCCACAAAATACGGTTGATTCACTTTACAGTCTATTCTGTGAAGCGCTTTGCGACGTTTAGAAGACATGAAAAGCTCTATATCAAACGCGAGGATTATTATTATTATATCAAATGTAAAGATTATTACTGTTTACAATTTTAAACTTAGATCCTCTTGATCTTCAGTTTTGACGTCGTAAGGCTGTCTAAAAGATTTACTAATAAACACAACTTACATTTATATAGTGCTCTTCACTCTTAAAAGTTTAGGGACTGAATATCTGGTAGCCACTGGTAACAGGTGTGTGCTCTATCCAATTGTTTCCTTAACCTTAGGCAACGTGGTGAAATTCTATCGCAAATAAAAAAGAATCGAGACAGAAAAATGAAAAGGATGTTCGAGAAGAACACTCGAATAGCAAGGAAGACAGTACGTATCTTGGCAGTCAACAAAGACTTAAACGAGTTACCAGGCAGTTTCAGTATTTATTCAGTATATTTTCAGTTTTTATTTTATGGTCCGACTCCTCTGCTATTTCTACAACTTTGCTCAGTCTCAGAGGCTTATTTAACTGGCTCTTGGTTGTCGTAACTCCGAATACTGATAGTAATCATAGAATCATAAGAATCTTACAGCACAGGAGGCCATTCGGCCCATCGTGCCTGTGCTGGCTCTTTGAAAAAGCTACAAACTATTCCCACTCCCCGGCTCTTACCCCATAGCCAACAATCTTCCTTTTCACGTCCCTATCCAGTTCCCTTTTGAAAGCTACTATCAAATCTGCTTCCACCAGCCTTTCAATCAGCGCATTCCAGACCGTAACCTAAACGTATTCTTTTTTCCCCCCCAACAGCTGAGTAGAAAACTCATGTACCGTTCAAAACCGCCTGAAAGCCAAGAAAGAGACGAGATAAACATCACAGAGCTGGCCCTTTCTGAACACAGCTTTGAGGATTTTTTTAATATAACACACACTCAGTAAAACGGGCTGTTTTGTTTTTATATTTTGACCAATGTTTCCTGTATCTGTTGATTCTGTTTTATTTAACATTAGTTATCTTGTAATTGCATTCTGTTTATTGATGCAGAAGTCTCAATTTAAAGGGGGAAAAGTATCAAGACTTGTCAGACAATCAACAGTCACATCACTGTTTGTCACCAACAATTTTAATCAGTTTTAGGAAAATTAAAAATTAGAACAGTGAAAGTTGGGACTATAAAAGATGTCACATCTGCTGCAATTCAAAGGTGGTATCCATTGCAGGATTGATGGCACATTTAATCAGATGTAAAGTTCCCCTTGCTCTGCTCATTATTATTATTAAAGCGCTCTGTAACGTGTGTTATACAGTGTGAAGATCGCTATATAAATACAAGTTGTTGTTATTATTTATTATTATTATTCGTCACAAGAGTCAAATTGTACTTGAGGTTTAAGAACAGGTAGATCCTTACTCATCTAATAAGTGTAAGGATGAAATGTTTTCATCGAGTCAATAGCTTCCTGTTGACATTGTACACCGATAAAAGTTGTCGTCACAGATCTGTTAAACGTGTCTTGTTGTGGTTTCAGTTGTTGTCACAATGTGGTACTTTAAACTTAAATGGATAAGCACTGAAATGGGGTGAGGAAGTTTATACTTTTTACTTTTTTTTGTAATACAGTATCTGATGATTCTTATTATTAAAGTGACAAATATGTATCCTGGGACCTGGAACATTCCCAGTTTGGGCATCTATTGCAGGATTGACAGCTGAACAACTAGTCCCACACCGTCACGAGCAACCAAGTGTGACTCTCAAATTCCAAATATTCTATTCTGAGTTTTCACACAAAATGAACTGGGGGGCGGGGGGGGGGGGGGGGGGGGGAGATTTCTTTGATGCAACTTCCTCCAAATCCACTTATAGTTCCAATTCTCGACATTCATAAGCACCTCGTAGTACCTCCTAACACCTTGGGACATCCTCCCGACGTGAAAGGAGCTATAGAAATGTAATTGTGTATTGTATTGGAGTTGACTGGAAAAGTCACTCGTTTCATGCTTTGTTGATGTCTTCAATCAATCTCAATGGCCATGTGCACACAGTCACCAGACTTTACAGTATATCTTGTGGAGCGTTTTGAGACATCTCAAAGACGCGATAAGCGCTGTATCAGATGTGAGTATAATTATTTCTGAACAAACAACAACTCACATTTACACAGCGCCTGTCACAGAGTGCTGGGCAGCGCGGAGCACGACACCGAGCCGGAGGGAGGGGGAGGCAGTTGAAGAGGAAGGTCTTCAGGCGCGACCCGAAGGTGGGGATGGAGGGGGCGAGGTAGATATAACCTCGAAGCCTGTGATAGAAGTACATACCCCATCTTACCTGTAGTTTATGTAGAGAATCCATTAATTTCTAACACATTTTCTCCTTACCAAATAAAATTAAACCAGTTCATAAACCAGGGCTAGATTTCCCCCAACAAAGTAAACAGATTATTAACTACTTAAAGCATATCTCTGTATATTAAATTGCACGAGTATTTTAAATCACCTTTTATTTGTTAACCTTGGATCTGAATCTTCACACATAAACAACAAACATGTGATTTGTGACCAGCTTTGATGCCAGAAACAGTTATATTAAGAGTCTGTATTGTAGAATCCAGGCAGATCATCCATCTTTAGAGCACCTACAAGTCCGTGAATGAGTCTGTTCAACAGTAACCTAGCAATGTCGCAGCGCTGAAAAAAGTACAAAATAATTACACATTTTTTATATAAAAAAAGCAAAATTATTCTCTCATTTCTCCGTCCTCTTCTTCCTCTTCAACTCCTCTGATGTACAGAACATTGTTACACCTGTGCAAAAAGATTACAAATTAAAGTTAGCTCCACTTAGCTTAATTACACACATAACAGAGTACATACATTAATCGTCACAAATCAAATATAGTGGAATCTGTTTTTGCCGGTCCCAGTTGACACTGGATATCGGGTAAACCAAACAAACCACCCGGTCCCGAATCATCTGTCTGGACCGTGTGAAATAACTACACATCATCTCACAAGTGTTGATTATATAGCTGGTGATATTACATGTGATACGATGCAGCTCAAATATCTCCCTATATTTCTAAATAAAGATAGAAATTCTTACCTTATAAGAACTTCTCCAAGATGTCCTGCTAGAGCACTGTCAATGTATTCCTCTGTATTGGCCAACTTTAATGAAGAAAACAATATTTAGTTTTCGCCCTAAATACTAACATATCAAAGTGCAGAAGTAATGCAAGTACAACCTCTTATATATTTCTCCTTTTTGAACACAAAAGGACAACATCTGTATTCCTCATTACAATGCATTTGTAGCAAAGTAGGAAAGCCTAGTATAAAATTCTCTCCACAATCTTGCCAGGAAACAAAAAATGTGTAAGATCTAATCATTCAGTTTTCAATGTGAAATGCATGGGGAAAAGAATATTATAGAATTCTCCTCTTATATCTTGCACCATCTATACTAGCTTGCAGATTTGGCAGCCACCCAATCCACAAAATCAAAACCTCTAAAGCTGTCCTGGCCTGAGCCATCTCAGTCTGTTACACAAGATCCACAGAAACAGTTCATCTGAAAGCCCTTCAATGGACAATACTATATTATTGTTTGTTCGTGGCCAGGGAGAGAGTAAATAAAATAAAATTATCATGCAGCCTTCTTGATGAGCAGTTCAGTTGCTCAATCTCAATCCAGTTATGATGTCAGTCCATATTTCTCACTAAAAACACTTAGCAGTGTGGGATAATAATAATACAAATACTTGACAAAGTGCAGAATATTGCAGTCATTCTTCAAGCGATGTTAGTGCTGAGATATGTTTCAATTAAGGGGATAAGAGTTGCAAATCTCACCAGAGTTAATGTATTAGCTAATACGAACTGTCTACTACAGTGCAATTTACACCCTATATATAGCTTCTTCAAGAATTCTTCGATTTCAAGATCCTCATCCCCACCTACAGGGCCATTCCCGGCCTCGCTCCCTCCTACCTCTCCGACCTACTATCCCCCTACATACCCCCCCGTACCCTCCGTCCCTCTGGCTCCGGTTTGCTCCACATCCCCCGCCCCAACCGCCCGACGATCGGTGGCCTTCAGCCTCTCAGCCCCGAGGCTCTGGAACTCCATCCCCAGTGCCTTCGCCGCTTCCTCCCTTTCCTCCTTCAAGGCCGGTCTCAAGGTCTTTCTCTTCAACCGAGCCTTCAGCTCCGCTCTCGACTCTCTACCCCCTCCTCGCTCCCTCCCTTCCCACCCCTCACCCTGACCATTCCCCCCCTCCTCGCTCCCTCCCTTCCCACCCCTCACCCTGACCATTCCCCCCCTCCTCGCTCCCTCCCTTCCTCCCTCACCCTGACCATTCCCCCCCTCCTCGCTCCCTCCCTTCCCTCACCCTGACCATTTCCCCCCCAATGCTCGGGTCCTGACCCAACTGTCCAGTGCCTTGGGACGTCCTCCCAACGTGAAAGGCGCTCTATAAATGAAATCCTGTTGTTGTTGTTGTTGTTACCTGCATGTTCATGTAGCCATCAACTGAGACAAGATAGCCCTTGTATTCCATTCCCCACTTCAACTTGACCATGACTGGTTTGCCAGTCAATCCATTGAGAAATGGTTTGGGATTCAAAGGTAAACTCTTTGCACATAGCGGACAAACAGAAAAACAAAAAGACAAAAACAAAAAGAAAGACAAGGTTAGCAGCTTTCACTTTATTTTTCTACAGATTCTACATTAAATTCACAAATTAAAGTCAGTAATAATAGGGGATTGACAGCTATTATTGTTTTGCAATTCAAGCTTTGCGATGGGGGAACTGCCGAACACGGCCTCATACACCAACATCACAATTTTGAAACCGTGCCCCAGTAATCATTATGTGAATAATAATTATGTGAGTAATTAACACACAAAGAATTGTGCATTATGCAAATGTCGGGGTCTATGATGCCCCACATGTCAACACATTGGTATCGTACAATAATATTATAATACAATAATTAATTATGTTACAACGTATTCATTGCAGTCTAACCACATGTTGATGTAACGGCATTGTCTAATGATATAATAATATAATGATATATAATAATGATATAATATAATAATGATGAAGTATAACCACGTGTTAGTGTGTTTGTATAACGTAATAACATAGTTATTGTTGGGAATAATTCATTAATGGTGTTTTGGGGGATAACAACTGCGGGAATGTAACCACATGGCGCTCAGTGTCACAGCCTCTCCCCCCGCGGCCTCTCCCCCCGCGGCCTCTCCCCCCCCCCCCGCGGCCTCTCCCCCCGCAGCCTGAGCCTGAGCCGCGGCCTCTCCCCCCGCGGCCTGGGCCTGAGCCGCGGCCTCTCCCCCCGCGGCCTCTCCCCCCGCGGCCTCTCCCCCCCGCGGCCTCTCCCCCCGCGGCCTCTCCCCCCGCGGCCTCTCCCCCCCCCCCGCGGCCTGGGCCTGAGCCGCGGCCTCTCCCCCCCCAGGCCCGGCCCGGGCGGCCTGGGCCTCGGGTGCTGTCACAGCCCCGGGGCCGCTCCCCCCACACTCACCATGGCTCGGGCTCCGGCACTGACGGCGCCAAAACCCCGCACAGGCTGCCGGGAAACACAGGCCGACCCCTGACCCCGGCCCGGCCCCGCCCCCAGACCCTGATTGGGCTACGTCACCGAGTCTGAGCCACGCCCACACCGTATACACCCCTCAATATACCCCATCACTCCCAATATACCCCCAATACACACCATCACTCCCAATATACCCCCAATATACACCATCACCCCCAATATACCCCCAATATACACCATCACTCCCAATATACCCCCAATATACCCCCAATATACACCATCACCCCCAATATACCCCCAATATACACCATCACTCCCAATATACCCCCAATATACCCCAATATACCCCAATATACCCCCAATATACCCCAATATACCCCAATATACCCCCAATATACCCATCACTCCCAATATACCCCCAATATACACCATCACTCCCAATATACACCCAATATACCCCCAATATACACCATCACTCCCAATATACCCCCAATATACCCCATCACTCCCAATATACCCCCAATATACCCCATCACTCCCAATATACCCCCAATATACCCCCAATATACACCATCACTCCCAATATACCCCCAATATACCCCCAATATACACCATCACCCCCATATACACCATCACCCCCAATATACACCATCACCCCCCAATATACCCCCAATATACACCATCACCCCCCAATATACCCCCAATATACACCATCACTCCCAATATATACCCCCAATATACACCATCACTCCCAATATACCCCCAATATACACCATCACTCCCAATATACCCCCAATATACACCATCACCCCCAATATACACCATCACCCCCAATATACCCCCAATATACACCCAATATACCCCCAATATACACCCAATATACCCCCAATATACCCCCAATATACACCATCACTCCCAATATACCCCCAATATACACCATCACTCCCAATATACCCCCAATATACCTCCAATATACACCATCACCCCCAATATACACCATCACCCCCAATATACCCCCAATATACACCATCACCCCCCCAATACCCCCAATATACACCATCACCCCCCAATATACACCCAATATACACCATCACCCCCCAATATACACCATCACCCCCCAATATACACCATCACCCCCCAATATACACCCAATATACACCATCACCCCCCAATATACACCATCACCCCCCAATATACACCCGCCCAATATACACCATCACCCCCCCAATATACACCCCCTCAATATACACCATCACCCCCAAAATACACCATCACCTCCCAAAATACATCCCCTCAATATACACCCCCCCTCAATGTACACCATCACCCCCCAATATACACACCCTCAATATACACCATCGCCCTCCAATATACACCCCCCAATATACACCATCACACACTATTTATACACACCATCATACACTATACATACTGTATATACACCATCATACACACACACTGTATATATATCATACGCCACATACACACAGCCCAGGGCAGTGCTGCAGGGACTCCTAGTCACTATGTCTATATCATATATACCTGTTTTACAATAGAGACTAATACAATTGAGATCTGCCTATATCATGGAGACCCATCTATAATAAACTGTGCGCAATTGGCTGCCGTGTTTTGCCCACAAATATACAGTCAATTCACTTTACAGTATATCCTGTGAAGCGCCTTGGGACGTCCTCCTATAAATGGAATCTTGTTGTTGTTGTTGTTGTCTCAACGATGTGATAAGGCGCTGTATCAAATGCAGGGATTATTACTATTATTACTATCTCTTTTGTTTAAACATCATTCCGAGAATTATGGTGGTGTACGAGTTAGTAATGTGTTTTTTCCTGTTGAGACTGACTCGGAAATGTGCTAAGTCAGTAACAAGAGGAAAGCGATAGATCACCACTCCTTTAAACGGCAGCACAGCCTGACCTGCAGCGGTGCCCTCTACAGAGCTGTGGGGACAAGCTGTACATATTGTCTTGTGATCACTCCACCCAGGTCACGTTCTCATGATCTAATGTTCGTTTGCCCTTTCACACTGACTGTCTTCCTCTATAGTGGTTAGAGCCCTCGCCTCACAAGCGAGAGGACCCGGGTTCGATTCCTGGGCACGGCAAAACCTTAGGCAAGTTTCCTTACTCCAGGCACTTCTGTTTTCCTAGCAATAAGTAGGAACCTGGTTGTTAGTCGATTGGCGGATCGCTTCCAGGGCTAATAATCTCTTAAAAAAATAATTTGGTCACTCAATCCACGGCTGTTTGTGGGACGCTGCTGTGTTTCACCCACAAAATACACAGTCAGTTCATTCCACAATATACCCTGCGAAGCGCTTTGAAATGTCTCAACGACGTGATAAAGCGCTAAATCAAATGTCAGGTTAATTATTATTATTAATATTATGTTACAGTTTCTCCAGGTTTTCAGGTTTCATTCTGTCACCATCTTATAATAATAACAATACTTGTTTTTGATATTGCTCCTCATCACATGGTTAAGACGTCTCAGAGTGCTTCATGGAATATACTGTAAAGTGGATGGACTGCATATTTATGCTGAGGTGTGTTACTTTGCTCAAACTGCCTGATGTACGTTAAGCTTTGCTGCGTCAGTTGCGGGTTAACTTGGAAGCCTCCTGGGATCCTCAATGTGCTGGAGGAGAACTTCCTCAGGAACTGATCTCTGTGAGTTTAACAATCACCAGTGTTGGAGAACAGCATCACCGATCCCGGCCATGTAGGGGTCAGCACTTGTAAATCAGGTCCTCGTGATTTAGTTTTGTTTGGCAGCAGAGAGAGAGGAAACACCACTCGGTTCCTGTTACTCAAATGTCTGGACACCCGCAAGCAGCTTCCGAGCAGGTGGCTGCTGTTACATGACGTGCAGATTGGCTACCACATTCACCTACAAAATACACAGTCATTGCTGTGTCTCCATTACACGAGATACTTTACAGTATATCCCATGAAGCGCTTTGAGACATCTTCCCAAAGTGAAAGACACTGCATCAAATGTAAGGATTATTATTATCAGTATTAGAGTTACATTACAGAACACTGTACAGTACAGCGCCTTGGGACGTCCTCCTGATGTCAAAGGTGCTATACAGTACAAATGTAATTTGTTGTTGATGTTGTACAGGTCTATTGTATGGTACAAATTGGCACCAAATTACCAATCACTCAGAAATTGCCAATCCCACTCAGAAAGACCATAAGGATTTTGTTTTAATGGGAAAGATTTACACTCAGTGGAACAGCCTTTTCTGTGGCAGTGTATTTAATCTATTTCATTTGTTCTTGAAAGAAACAACACTTTCTGCTTCCACCGTCTTGCTCATTTAATGAACAGGAAATGGATATCTTATGTGAGATTTAGAATGACTTTACATCAAAACTATGCCAACAACAATTAAAACAATACATGGAAGCAATAGGAGACTCACAAATATTCTAGGTCAACTTCTTTGTTGACTTTACACAATTAACTGATTATAGTCTGATTAGACTCTAGTCTGAGCACATGCAGTCCCAACTTGTAAGGTCAATTTTGAACAGTATGTGTGTGTATGAAGTTTGTACATTAATCTTCTTGTTATGAGTCAGAACAACTTGTTGTTGAGTCTGGATGAAAGCTTCTAAAGTCTGCTTTTGTCTTTGTTCCTGAAGTATTCTCCAACTGTCTGATAAGCTTTGTTTTATAATCAATGGGTAGGGTCCCATCTACAGAAACAATCACTGTCATGAGACTGAAACACACAATTTTGCAATTATGACTATTTGTGGGATGTTTGTGGAATCTCAGATAGATACCTGCACAGTACAGTACATTATTTGTAGAAACGTATGGGATTTCCTATAAAAAGTACAATGAATCCAAGCTATTAAAAGAGGGGATCAATGGCTAATATAAAGGATACCATTTGTCTTGTCTTTGAGTTAGGTTTCGTTTGTTAAATTTTAGGCAGAATTTTCTGTTTATTTCAGACAAACTCGTGTTTTCGCACAAGGCTCCAAATCCTGGGACCTTACAGCAAAAAAGATCATTCAGCCCTAGTCCGATCCCCCGCTCTTACCCCTTAGCCCTGCAAATTTTTCCTTTTCAAATAAATGTCCAATTCCTATCCCCTCCCAAACCCACATGAGGCAGATTTCTAATGCAGGAAAATGTCAGGACAGTGTAGATACATGTCTTTTATTCGGTTTCTCTCACTCAGACCTGATGGAATTGTTGTGAGATTTATGTTTTTTTTAAAAAAGCTTTTATGGGGGTCAGTCGGGTGTCTGACACGTGCGGAATCCCATCACTGTGCTTAAACCAACCCAACAATTCCATGCATCCCATCTACTCATCTTCGAGAAGTCTCAAAGTGCTTCACAGAATATACTGTAAAGTGTAGTGACTGTGTAATTTGTGGGCGAAACGTGGCAGCCAATTGTGCACAGCAGAGTCCCACAGTCGGGATTGAGTGACCAAATTATTATTTTTTTTAAAAAAGAGATTTTATCCCCGGAAAGCAATTCACTACTCTAACCACTACACTACAGGACTCCACATTTATTGCTTACACAATTGTGTGCAAACAGATATAGGAGAAGGGAATTGTATGCAGTTCAAATGCAATTGCAAAAGTAACTTTGCAACTTTGGCCACAAGTCTGTGCGTCTGCGAATACTGTTTCTGTGTGGGACACAAAACGGCAAAAAAGTGGGCCTTTGTCATATTTTAAATGAGTCATGTTTTGATGAATGACCCTTATTATTTTCTCTGTTGAGGAATTCAGGACATTTTTGGCACGAGTCTTGGGTTTTGTTGGTTTCGTCTGAACTAGTCGCATAATTCAGCAGGGAAATTATATGAGAAAAATAAGCAAAAGAAGGGAGGTATTGTGTTGTGTGGTAATTGTCATGGTAAAAGCCACATCAATACCTGAGAGAGACTGAACACCAGCCAGGCAAGCCTGAGTGCGTTTCCTGGGGGAGGAGCTGCTCAAGAGTAGAACGGAGAACTTTCATCCCAATAATTTCACTTGGGTTTAGTGGCAAACACCAACAACAGCAACAACAGCAACAGCA